CTCAGTGTTCTCCTTTGGATCAATGAGTTCAGGGCACTGCTTGATGAGTATACTTTGAATCAAGCAAGGATAGGGTAACCTGAACCTTGCTCTGAAGTTCAGTGCTCTATCCAGAATGTGATCAAAGATCATACTTCCATAATTGATCTTGATTCCCTTCTTCACGCAGTAGATGAGTATCGCCAATCTCTTGTGGATCAGACTCGATCGCTGAGTTGGTAACCAGTTGGATCTGGCGATCTTGAACAGAACTGAAGATTCAAAATTCAGGTCTACTGGTGCTATCTCTTCTTTCCTCTTCTCGTCATAGCTATCAGTGAGAGCTATTTCCAGTTCCTTCTGATCAATCTCTCTATCCAGTTCGTCCATGGTTGCCACCACTGTGTTCTTCAATCCTAAGAACTTATTGATCACTGCTGGAGAGAAGTGTAGGATCTTTCCTCGTATGTACACCCGATGGTACATCGGATCTCCCTCCCTCACAATCTTCTTCGAGATGTTAGCATAGAATTCCTTGATCAGAATTTTGCTGTGTGGGCAAGCATATGTGACAGTTTCTTCTAGTCCTAGACTCTCTAGGAAGTCCCAAATCCCTTGCTCTTTGAAATTGCTGACATTTACATTTCTCTCAACAATTGTGTTGAGGTTCTTCATGTCATTGAATCTTTGTTCGGACTTTTCATCAACAAAGTGATGAGACATGCAGAGGCTTGCCAGTAGCTCCTCATCTTCTGATCCAGAAGGTGAACTGGGTGGTTCCTTTTCTTCCTGAATTTTCTTCTTCCCCTTCCTCTTCTCCTTTCTGTATTCCTCAGAGACTTTTGAGGATTTTGCTGGGGGCATATGTTTTGCAGCTTCACCTTTCCTTTTCACAGCTTTCTTAGGGGTCTTTTGCTCAGAAATCACCAAACTTGGTTGTGATTTCATCTTCCTTGGGATTTTCTTGACAGGGCTTTTGACAGTTTTCACTGATTTTGTTGCTACTTGAGATCGGGTCCTCGCTCTTTGTTCAGCAACAACTCGTGTATCAGGTCCCTTTCCCTTTTTCTCAACAACCTTGGCCTTGGCCTTCTTCTGCTCAACTCTGGAATCCACTTCAACTCCATCATCTTCTTTTGGTTTGAGCACCTCCGTCTCTGTTGCTGAGTCCGCAACAACTTCCAGTTCAGCATCATCCTTGGATTTTTCTTGCCCTAACTGTTCAGAGGGCAGTTCATCCATCCGTTTGGATGTGTCACCCACATCCTTCCTAGATTCTTTATGCTGAACACTCATGTCCTTATCAAAATCTACTCTCCTTTTTGCTCCTTTTCTAATCAGCCTAGGTTCACTATCCGAGCTCACATCTAGTTCGTCAGTAGGGTAGACAAAAAGATCATCGAGCTTACCCGAATCAGCTTGTTCTGGAGGCAGTGAAGTTTGTAGATCTTTATCTTCGATCTTAGTTGTTTCTTGCTGTGGTTCTTCGGGTATCTCCGCTTCTTGCGTCTTTTCTTCTGGACTTTCGAGTTCTTGGATCTCTTCGCCTACTTTGTCTTCTTTGCTATTGCGAAGACTCTCCCTCGGATTTCGGCGAGATTCTTCTGATGGGTTCTCTTCTGGATCTTCTTCAGCACTCACAAACGAGTTTGAAGATTCTTCTTTCCTGGGTTCACTCGATTTTCCTTCTCTAGATGAACCTTCCTCTGAGTCAAGGTGATGATCCTCACTCTTTTCTTCTCTCTTTTCTTTTGGATCCATGCTGAGACTGAATCTAGGGATTTTATTCTCTCTTCGTTACTCTCTGTTGGACCTCACACTCGTGCGAATCAACTTCCCAGATTTTAGGGTTCTTCAGCTCCAGAACTTCGCAGGGATAGAGAGAGAAACACCTCTTTTTATTGTGGGCAAAGAGTTTGTTTTGGGAATCTCTGATTTTTCGGATCCCACTTCCCCATAACCGAACATTTACTCAACCACTCACATCAATCTTTTCAAAAATAACGTTTTAAAAAAATAAATGAAACAGAAATCCGTTACGCAATAACTTACGATTTTAACACCAAAGGAATTCATTCTTTCGTACCTTAGTTCGCAGTATATCCAGTTGAGTCAGTGACACCTCACGCTTCGTCCAGTGCATACTTCACGAACCATGGATACATTTTTCTCGTATTTTTCTCTTTCATCCGCCTGAACTTCTAGGACGTTGTGTCCGTTCATACTGTTTCACCACTTAAGTCCAGCCTATCTCTCTTGGATATACTCTTGTAAGAGCTAACTTACAGCGGAGTATGATGAATCATTGTCATCAGACCTTAGACCGTCGAATGGACAATATGAGGCTCAACTTAGACCCGAGCGATTTATTTAATCTACTCATGTCAGGTTTTTTTTTTTTTTTTTTTTTTTTTTTTTTTTTTTTTTTTTTTTTTTTTTTTTATTGCGAAATATCACTCATTGTTTACTGAGTGTACACTGACAGAGGAGTACCAGGGGATTTTTGTATCACCAATCTTTGAAGTGCACCTGACTATCTTGCGAAGTATCACTGACCGCCCTTTCAACACTGTTTCACTTAAACACTTCAGAACAAACTCAATTAGTGATCAAAATCAAAAAGTTCCAATACCAAGAGATTTTTGCAAACACGTAAACCTATTCATGTCAAGTGGTTTAGTAAATATATCAGCTAATTGATGTTCAGTGGGTACGTTAGGCTGATTAGAAAAGGAGCAAAAAGGAGAGTAGATTTTGATAAGGACATGAGTGTTCAGCATAAAGAATCTAGGAAGGATGTGGGTGACACATCCAAACGGATGGATGAACTGCCCTCTGAACAGTTAGGGCAAGAAAAATCCAAGGATGATGCTGAACTGGAAGTTGTTGCGGACTCAGCAACAGAGACGGAGGTGCTCAAACCAAAAGAAGATGATGGAGTTGAAGTGGATTCCAGAGTTGAGCAGAAGAAGGCCAAGGCCAAGGTTGTTGAGAAAAAGGGAAAGGGCCCTGATACACGAGTTGTTACTGAACAAAGAGCGAGGACCCGATCTCAAGTAGCAACAAAATCAGTGAAAACTGTCAAAAGCCCTGTCAAGAAAATCCCAAGGAAGATGAAATCACAACCAAGTTTGGTGATTTCTGAGCAAAAGACCCCTAAGAAAGCTGTGAAAAGGAAAGGTGAAGCTGCAAAACATATGCCCCCAGCAAAATCCTCAAAAGTCTCTGAGGAATACAGAAAGGAGAAGAGGAAGGGGAAGAAGAAAATTCAGGAAGAAAAGGAACCACCCAGTTCACCTTCTGGATCAGAAGATGAGGAGCTACTGGCAAGCCTCTGCATGTCTCATCACTTTGTTGATGAAAAGTCCGAACAAAGATTCAATGACATGAAGAACCTCAACACAATTGTTGAGAGAAATGTAAATGTCAGCAATTTCAAAGAGCAAGGGATTTGGGACTTCCTAGAGAGTCTAGGACTAGAAGAAACTGTCACATATGCTTGCCCACACAGCAAAATTCTGATCAAGAAATTCTATGCTAACATCTCGAAGAAGATTGTGAGGGCGGGAGATCCGATGTACCATCGAGTGTACATACGGGGAAAGATCCTAAGATTCGGCAAAGATCAAACTCGAAGATATCTGAGATGCAACTGACAAGATTCAGATGAAGTCAAAGCTGAAGAGATAGAGTCAAGCTGAAGAGATAAAGATGAGATCTTGAAGATAGACACGAAACAAACAAGAATCAAGGAGAAGTCTATCAAATCAATTCGTGGAGATCTGAGGCTAAGGGAGGAGCCTATATAAAGAAGACACAAGTTGCAGATCGGCGTAGAGAGAAGGAGCATAATTTCTAAGGTGCGTATGCGATGACTCTATGTGTTTTTGATGACTTGAAGTTTAGTGTGTAATGACTCTAGCTTGTTGGAATTTGATGAAGGATTTACAATTGTGTGCATGATCTGAAATAACCAACAAGGGGGAGATTGTTAGTGCATATATTTGCACGTATCTTGGGTTGTTGAAAGTTTGTTGCAGGTCCAACAAACTTTGAGAGATTTCAGGAGAAAGATTCGGCAAAGATCAAACTCGAAGACGATCGAGTCTGATCCACAAGAGGCTGGCAATTCTCATCTACTGCGTGAAGAAAGGAATCAAGATCAATTATGGAAACATGATCTTTGATCATATTCTGGAAAGAGCACTGAACTTCAGAGCAAGGTTCAGGTTACCCTATCCTTGCTTGATTCAAAGTATACTCATCAAGCAGTGCCCTGAACTCATTGATCCAAAGGAGAACACTGAGGTTGTTCAAAAACCTCTAGTAGTTGAGTCAAGAATCAAAAGGAAGAAGGGAAAAGGTAAGAAGGACTTCAAGAAGATGCTGGAGACACTCAAGGACGCAGAAAAGGCTCTGATCAAGATGGAACTCGGTCTAAGGAAGCAGGCAACACACTGCCAGAAGATTCGTGCATCAGTCCATGAATTTGTGGAAGCAACTCTGAGTAATGTGCTCATTATTCAATCAGGTATTCCTCAACTGGATAAACTTGTTTGTTGATTATTTCGTTCATGCCCACAGGGGGAGAAATTGAGGAAGCAGAAGGAGATCTATACTCAGAAGAAGAAGATTCGGAGGAAGAAGAAGAAGAAGAGCCTGAGATGCCCAAACAAACTCCACGGAAAGCAGAAACCTCGAAGAAGTCAGGAACAATCAAGAAAGTTAAGAGGGTCAAGAGTTCATCGGAGGACTCATCTGATCGATTCTGATGTTTTTTTTTCTCTTATACTAATGATCTGAACTTATGTGCGTATGCGATGACTCTATGTGTTTTTGATGACTTGAAGTTTAGTGATTTATGTGGTGAGGTTTTTTGATCAGTAGAATTCATTGTGAGAGGGGAAGAAACTCAGGGGGAGTTTCGGGTGTGTGTAGTAAGTACGATTCTTACAACAAAAAGTAAGTTGTACTTGACTATCTTTCTCAAGTGAATAGAACTGATTAGTTTTCCGCATTTCTCTTTGAGGGTTCAACTTTTTCACAAACTATATACATATATACATATAATTATATGTGTATACAAATATATACAAGTGTGTACGTATATGTACTTATATTTATATATATTTGTAAACTTTATACTAAGCACTCATATATATATATTATATATACATATATATTATGCGCACCACCATATATCATATATATATATATATATTATATCCTACGCACTCATACATATGTTTTATATTATATACAAACACACGATGGCGCTATCGTTGTGTAACGATAGCGCAATCGTTCAATTTTTTTTTATTTTTTTTATTTTTTTTTATTTTTTTTTTGTTCAACGATTTCCGCGATCATACGTTTTTCGTTTGATTCCCATGAAAGTATTTTGGTGAAGCTCGTTTTCCGTTCTTTCCTACAAAATATAGAAACATCGAAATCGGAGTGAAATTGTACATGATAAAGCCTATAATCGTATAAATATCATATAATATAATGTATATAATATACAAAAATACACTAATATATACATGTCATCAACCCTCCAATATTTTTCAACCCAAAATTTTTTCCTCCAAAATTTTTCAACTCAAATTTTTTACCTTCCAATATTTTCACCTCATATTTTGTAGTATTTATAAACAAGTTCAGATATAAATAAACATAAAATATAATATCATAATGTAAAATTTTGTAGGTTTATAATAAACAAACAAAAGATCATACTTATGATTCATAACAAACAAAAATAAGTTCATAACATAAATAAATTCTTGTTGTTGTTCTTCTTCAACTTGCTCATCTTCTACTTCTTCTTCATCTATAAGACATTTTCCCTTCTTCTCCATCTTCTTAGAAGACTTTTTCTAACGAATTTCCAAGTCATAAACTTTTTTCCAGTATATACTTTCCGGATTATTGTCTAGAAATTGCCTAAAAACCTATCATTTTGATCTGAATGTCGATGGAACCATCTTCAACGTCCAATCAAATTGCATGAGAAATAAGTGTTGGAACTGCGATTCATTATTGAAGTACCTCCATTCTTCGAAGAAAACCGAATTTCTTCAATTTTATATATAAAAGGCAACTGCAAAACAAAACAAATTGATGACATCGTGTGATCTGAGACCATATAATCAAGTTATTTGTGACCATGTCACGTATTATCCTATGACCTTGTGAAGTAATTGATCCTCTTACCTTATGGGACCTAGTTTTCATAGATAATATTTTTTGTGGGGTCCAGTATCATCCAAATGTGCAAAAATATTATGGTTGACAAGTCAGCACTTGATTTTTTCCACCACCTTATTGGCAGTCATAAACTTGGAGCACTTCATACATTGTCTCTTCAATGTGCTACAAAAAATATGTGATGGATTATGTCATCATGTGATCATGTGATATGGTACCATGTGACCGAGTGAACATGGTACCATGTGACCGTCAACATAGTACCATGTGACCGAGTGAATATGATACCATGTGACCCTGTGAACATGGTACCGTGTGACCGATTGAACATGATACCATGTGACCGTGTGACATGATACTTGTGACTATGTAACTTGTGACATGTGACCATGTGATGTAAGATAACTTATACACTTACAGTATCTGTGAGGCATATTCCGACTTGCAGACCAAGTGACCAATAGACCATTTAACCAAATAGGACAAACTCTCATGTGGTCGTGTAATATAGTATGATACGACCAGTTTAACATAGTACCATGTGGCCATATGTTACCAAGTCACCATGAAACCTGTGAATAAGTGACCTAAGGACCTTGTGATCTATTGTCTTGTACCTGTGACCATGTGACTTGTGACCATGTCACTTAAATCACTTTGTGACCTGTTACCATGTGATCTAAATCACCCTGTGATATGTGACCTTTTCACCTTGTGACAGTATAATTATATGAGTGTGACTCAAATTAACATATTATTCATCATCCAAACTTCGAGTCATACATCCCTATGATTCAAATCAACTCGATTTTAACAATTTCACATCACAATCGATTACTTGACTTCAATCCCAATATTCTATTTTGAAATCTAAAAAATTTCAAAAATACAACCCTAAATTTCTATCCATCAAATCTTCATGCCAACACTTAAAGTTAACATAAAAATTTTTTAAAATCTAGCAAATCTGATAAAAAGAGAAGTAACTTACCCGGTGATCGTTTAACTCAACAATTTGCATTCGAGGTACTCGTTCGAAGATACCGATGAAGATGAGTGTTGGGCTGATGTAGAAACTTTTTTTGTCTGCGGTGTCACTTCTTCTTTGAATCGCTGAAGCATTTTACAAATAGCGAGAGATTTGATTGTTTTAAATTTTGGACAAAGATTCGACGGTTTCGAAAGAGAGAGAGAACAAATAGTAAGAGTTAGGAGATAGAAGATTTTGAGAGGTAGGAGAGAGAAATCATGAGTTTAGGAGAGATAAAAGAAGATTTTGAGAGGTAGGAGAGAGAGATTATGAGTTTAGGAGAGAGAAAATTTTGAGAGGTAGGAGAGAGAGATCGTGAGTTTAGGAGAGAGAAAATTTTGAGAGGTAGGAAAGAGAGATCGTGAGTTTAAGAAAGAAAAGGTTTTTTCGTCTTTTCAGTTTTATATAAGGGTTTAAATATCTTTTGAATTGTTCAGTATCTTTTTTTTTAATTTTGATTTCGAAGGGTATTGACAGAAATCAATGTAGCAGTCAAAAGGTAGTTTTGATATTTCCCCGCCTGAGAGTTGCATGAGTGGCAACCTTCTCAGAGACTGATGTGGTATAAAAATGCGACACATATTCACGAGTTGGGTTGTAGCGGCAATACCGAAAAGGAAAAAAATAAAAAATAAAGGGTGCAAAAGCTCGACACAAAAACATAATAGTTTAGCAACGAGGTTGGAGGAAAGAAAAAAAATTGTTGTGGTGCATTAGTGCAGTGCAAATGCACGATACTGTATTACAACAATATCAGCAACACAAAAAATGTTATGGTTAGCGATTATGTTGGAAAAAGAAAAAAAGGTGCAAAAGTGCAGATCAACGATTGAAGTTTTCCAATAAAAAAGCGATATAAACCAGATTTAAAGATACTCACGACGGTTAAGGTTGACGGTTATGATCAATGTCGTTGAAAAAAAGGACTAGAAAAAAGAGCAAAAGGAATGAAAGACAATACTCAAGTTATTGAATTTAGTATATCATTGTCATCTTCATCGTCGCTTCTGAATTCAACCTAAATTTTTTATGAGAAAAAAATTTTAGAACAAAAATCAGACTTTGATATTAAATAAGAGAATAAAGATTGCTTTTATTAATATGATATTTGTGTTACAAAGGAATGCATACATATAGAATGAGAAACGATACAAATATTTTAAGATACCACTATAAATATGTAAATATAAATATATCTAAATATTCTAAACTTATAAATATGTTAATATACCAATACAACTAACCCTCAGAAAACATTAAAATTTATTTGTTATCCCTTTATTTAAAAAAGAAAATTATTATTTTTATTATATTTAATGTAATTAGTATTTTCATGACTATAGAAGTTTTTTTTTGTTTGGCTTTTATTTTTTAGTTTTTGACTTTTATAGTTTTTTACAGTTTTTAGAAAACTTAATTGGTAAAAATAATATTTTAGTTAGTTTTAGATTTTATATTTAAAATTACCAAAAATGCTTTTTGTTATTAAAACAAAAATCATATTTAATAATACTAGTAATAACACTATATTTCTATTATTCAAATACATATATATATACATTGTATTTATACTCTTTCAAAAACAATATATATATATATATTCAACATTAATATGTATATCTACATATATATGTATATGTATATATATAGACACATACATGTGTATGTATAACTATAGATATAAGATAATTACATATATATTTTGAACAATAAATTTTGAAACATACCTCAAATTTTGTTTATTTAATAATGCCTTTTTCAAATATTAGTTATGGTATGGTAGAAATATTATCTTTATATAGAAATAAGTATAATGTGAAATTATTTTCAAAATAATGGGCATTTTTGTCTTTAGATAATTTATATAATTATTTTTTAATAAAAATAAAAAAATTACTAATAAATGTAATAACCCGGTTTTTCAAAAAAAAAAAGTCCAGACCGTTGGGTTCAGAGAGCCTAGAACGGACGGACTACGCAGGCGCAGAACGAACGGACCAGACAGTCCCGGAACGGACGGACTCGACTGTCGGCAGCAACGAAAGTCGCGATCTTCATCCGGATTCGACCTGAAAGCGACCGGGACGCACTAATCCTGACTAGAAAACCCGACTTTTTGATCCAAAGCGTGATTTGGTCTACCCTGGGTCCAGATTTCTGCTGAACAATCGCCTAATTCGAGCTTTAATTAACCCCTCTCTGCCCTCACATATTCCTCACTTTCAAACTCAGAATTCTCTCTCGAATCCGAAGCATTTACGCTCAAATTGGTTTCTAAAGATCCAGAGGAGCATCACCCAGCCCCCTATCCATCACCCAGATTACGGGATTAATCCGAGGTGAGTGAATTCGAGTTTAATTCGGAAGTCTGTTGACATGGGGTTTGGGTTTTTGGGTGATTCGTGCAAAATTGATGTTTGATTCGTGCTCAACATGAGATTTTATGAGTTTTAATGTATTACCCATAGCGAATCGGGCATGTTTGAGTGTTTTTGATGAAATCCGAAGACCAGAACGTCCGGTCTGAGGTCA